TAGTAATAGTAGTAGTGGCAGTAGGAGCAGCAGCAGTAGTAGCAGCAGTAGTAATAGCAGCAGCAGCAACCATTTACCACGGCCTTACCATGTGCTTAGGCACCGTGCCCTACCCACAGAGTAAACACTTAAACCTGCTCATGTGTTGGCTCATCTGATCCTTGCGACAACCCCATGAGATGGATATTGTTATGGAGCCTATTTTAGAGATGAGGAAACTGAAGCCCAGAGAAAAGCAATTGGTTTCAGGACATAAAACCAGAAAGTGGTAGAGCTGAGATGCCAATCCAGATCTTTCCGATATCTAAGCCTGAGTTCCTAAGCACTACACCAGGCTCACTCCCCAGGGCCACAGTGTATTTGGGACACATGATGGTACAATAGCGTTGATCAGAGATTTGTGTTTGAGTTCGGGTTCTGCCACATACGAGCTGTGTAACCCTTGGCAAATTACCACATCTGAGCCTCAGTTTTTTCATCTGTAAAAGGAAGCAGCATCCTGTAGAAGAAACTTAACTCCAAGGAAAACATACAAGTCCAATCCAGATGGCCAAAAGGTGTCTTTAGGAGGGCAAGAGGGGAACATCATTAATGTCAAGGCTTGGGTAATAAGTCAGTTGTGTTGGGAATGTCAGAATCAATGACCTAGCTTGAGAAGGGCAATGGCTCATATAGACTATATAAAAGGGGAGACACAGACAGTACAAGAGATCATCAGAGACTCCCCAGCCCTGCCCTGAGAAGTGTGTGCCCACAACAGCAGAAAGGAGAGTTCCAGTCTGCTGGACAGATCTCCCCCACAGACTGTGGTGCTTTGGGCTCTAGGGCCAAGCTACTGAGGCCAAGCACACACTGCTCTGTCACTGACTAGGCTGCCCGAGTTCCTGAGCGTCTCTAGACCTTAGCTTTCTCATCCATAAAATAAGGCTGATCCCAGAGCTTCCCTCATGGGATTGGTGTGAGGATTGATGAGAGAGAGAGAGAGTTTAGAACAATGCCTAGCACATTGTAAGTGCTTAAAAAATGTTAATCATTATAGTTATTATTGGTGACTCTACATGTTAAGATCAAACCGCTCTCATTGCCCTAATTCGTGCTCCAAGAAAACTTTTCATTGTAACTGGAGTTTCCTAATAGAGGAGAGAGCACTTGGGCTGGTTGATATGTGAATTCTTCTCTGTTGGGACCATTTCTCATTATAAATTAATACAATTGGCATCCTATAGGTTTCATGAATTTAAGTCACTAGGTATGAGCCTGTTCCTCTCTTGATCTACCTTGATTCCAGAGGTATCAGATGATAAAAGTGAGTGTCAACACATAAAGTGACAGGCCAGAATGAGCACAGCTAGGTCCTCAGTCAGGCAATGCCTATGTGCAAGAGCCCAACTGAGTAGCTGACCCACCTCCTCCATGATCTTTTTCTCGTTAACTTTATAACATTTGCATGAATTGCTGAAAACAGCAGGCAGCAGAGCAATAGTTATGAGATGGGCTGCAAACCCAAAGGACTGTCTCTGGAACAATCTCTTTTTTGAGGGAGAAACATCTTTGCAGAGTTCATTGGCTCCTCGGGCAGGACCACACCTACCTGTTCTGGACTGAAGATATTACCCGTTTGTTGCTGTGGATTAATTCTTCTTGCTCTGTGAGTTGTTTCAGAAGTTTCCTTTTCTCTAGGAGCAGTGTGTCATTTTGAGCAGTGACTTCTTCCTGGAATGCCTTCTCCTAGAGATAAGAAGCCCCTCATTACCACAGCAGGAGGAAGAATTACGAAGTTGACAGCAAATTTCCCTTCTTTACTTTTCCTCTCCCGCCCCCTAGTCTGTTTTCACCTGTTTGCTGACATTGTCAGCTAGACAGTTCTTCCGTTTATTTTGGTTATTTTAGGTCTTATATTTTTTTTGAACAATTAATCATTCTCCCGGGTTAACATTTAAAAATACCTGAGCACTCCACTTCCAATAAGGTCCCAAGCCTTTCATGTGTATTCTAATACCATAGGTATATCAAATCACTACCAAATGCAACTGAATTCCCCGAAGCTCCAGTCTGACATTTTTACATATAATACAACTCCATCTGCATTGGGGTGATAGTCTTTTTAAGACAAAGGGAGGAGATGGAAATTTAGCTCCCATACTTGGCAACCAGCATCAGGATCTCAGTTGCCTTGGCCAATGAAGCAGGTAAGCCAGCTACTGAGAATATCCTTGCAGTGATCATGCTAAAGAGACTTCTAACTTGACACCATGTCTCATTTTCTACCAACAATTTTCCCAGAAAGCAATAGCTAGTGAAGTTATAGCTAAAATGATAAAGGAGTGATCTGGTGAAAAAATACTAATGTTCTTATATTGAAAGAGTCAGTAGCTATTAATAAATTATACTGTGGGTGAGGAGTTTAGAAGCTCAAAAGTGTAGAATTGCCCTCCTCATTTCACTGATGCCCCGTCATTGATAAGTCCTTCAACCTTCTGTGTTTGTGCCCCACCTGCCAAAGGCAGGAGTGAGTGGGGATGGGAGAAGCAGAATGAGCTGCTGGCAGATGGTGAATCACAGAGTTAAGAGGGGCAACTTTCTTTCTTTTAAATAAGGCACTAATACAGATCATCCAGAAAAGACTCCATCTATTATTCAAGAATTGTAAGAAAGGATATTACATTATGTTCCGAAACAAACCACTCCAGATTTTAAAGTCCCGCAGCCAGGACCCTTCAATGTCTAACAATAGTCTTGTCTGCTCTTATTTAAATACATTTTTGGTGAGGATTGAGAACAGAAGCAGTCATCCCACCAATACTACTCTGCTGTTACAACTGGATTAGAAAGGAAACCAGATGGGGCAGGCTACTGACACTCTGCCCTTTGGAAATGTCTTATTTTTTTTTTTTGGAACCAGAAAATCAGGACACCTGCTCTAATAAAAGGATAAAATATTTGGGAAATCTGGTTTGGATGTTTACAACAGTCAGGAGACTCAACTGGCTCACTGTATAAAGAGAAGGGTGAAGGAACGAAATCCAAAAAAAAGTGCCATTACTTTCTGGAGACTTGGTGCTTGGAAGGTGAGTCTAGCTTTTTTATGCTCGTGGCTCTGGTCCACGGGCCCTAAAATAAGTAAAACCAGGACCTCCAGGTGTGTACCACTGTGGCATTAAAAGATCTCACATCAGTCTTCTCTAGGCTAAGTATCTCCTATTCCATTAACAATTCCTCTCATGAACTATACATCTACCACTCAACATGTTTCTAAGAGAGCTTACACTAAAAGAGAAGAGAAGAACATCTCTGGAAAGTTGTCTGTGTCAGGTGCCACCTCAGGCATTTCCTATTTTAACCGCACAAAAGCCTCGTGAGGTGGGGATTAGTTCTGCCATTTCATGGACGAGGAAAATGATACCTGGAGACTTGGGCCAGGTCACAGAACTATGAAGTGGCAGGTCTAGATTTTGCATCTGTCTATGGCCAAACCCCCCAGCAGCCTTCAAGGGCAGTGAGCAAAGAGACCAACTGCTCTTCCTTAGCCTCTGCTCATTTGCCATCTCTCCTGGATATCCGTGGTTCTCTGGGTAGATGTGTCCGTTTCCCAGGGCTGCTGTAACAAATTACCACAAACTGGAAGGCTGAAAACAAAAGGAACAGGTTTTCTCACATTTGTGGAGGCTATAAGTCTAAAATTGGAGTGTTGGCTGGGTAAGTTCCTTCTGGGGGCTCTATGCCTCTCTCAGCTTCTGGAGTTTACAAGCAACCCCGGATGCTCCCTGGCATAGCTGCATCCCTCCAATAGCTGCCTCTATTGTCACGTGGCCTTCTTCCCCTGTGTGTGTCTACGTGGGCCTGCTCTTCTTATAAGGACGCCAGTCATATAGGATTTAGGGCCAACTCTAATCCACCATGAGCCCATCTTAATTAATTACACCTGCAAAGACCTTATTTCCAAATTAGATCCCATTCTGAGGTTCTGGATAGACACGAATTTGTGGAGGACACTATTCAACCCAGTACAGTCAGGAAGAAAGAAGTAGGGGGCTGTTTCTATCATGTAAGCCAAACAGTGGAAGGCAGGCAGTACAAAAGAGTGGTAATGTAGAAGTAGGCTTCTAGTTCTTGTGTGCCCACCAACCAGGATTGCTACTTTCTTCTATAGTACTTTTCATGTACTTTTCTGAATTGTGAGTCTAACCTAGATCTGAGTCTTTAAAGTTTGACAATTTAGTACCCAAAGAGAAGGATACTGCAAAATCCAACTTATTTTCCTCTCTCACTATAGTGTGGAGAATCAGGAGGATTTTTTTTTTAAACATTGGTTAAACATCTGTTATAATCCAAAAATGTTTTATTGTGTGTAGTCTAGAATTCTTAACCATCCCATAATAGCCCATGGAATGACTGAAATTGCATGAATTCTTTTGGGATCCTTGGCACATATATAGAAATGAGTATTTTAGGAGTGAGCACAGAGTTTTCAAAATTCTGATGGGCTAGGCATCTCAAGAAGGGAAAGCATTACTGGCCTAGTCAGTTGCTCTCCACTTTGAATTCGTGTAGTTTAATGATCTCAAGACCATTCTGCAGTTGATTCCATGCCATTTGTCTCATTTTCCTCCTACCTACCAGTAAGTCACAGGGGCAATGGGACAAAGATGAAGAAGACGTGGATATTTAGAAAAAAAGCCTACAGACACTACACAAGGACTGATAAATAGAGGTCACCAATTTTCACTGCCATTTAAAACTGACAGAAGTTTGAGGCAAAACGAGGGCTATGTGAAGTAGGAATGAGTTACATAGGGTGGTCTGGAAGTCTCTGCTGATGGATATTTAAGAGAAGACATTTTCATTTGAAAACAAGACACTGACCGGAGTTGGAAGTGCAGGATAGTTTCAGTGTCTGATTCAGTGTACTAACACCATGAGTCTTACATACTTTTTGGCAGAATTACTCACATCGAAAGAAGGTGTGGAAAGAAATGAGAACCTAGAGTATGAAGAGGCCACAAGAGAATTAAAGCACCAGTGGGCTTTCTTGAATGAGCCAAACCATGGCACATCGGGGAGCTCTTCACCTTTCCACTCCCCATTTCCCTTTGTTGACGCAGACCTCTGATTTCATTTCCCAGTTGTTCAATTCTCTCATCTCGTAGTTCTACTTCATGAATTAAACGGTCCTTAACTCTGCGAAGCTTGACTTTGTGATGGTGATGTTTCTCGTTATAGTTCCTATAAAAGTAAATTTAAAGAGAGGCGCAGCTGAGCACAGTGGACATTCATGTTGCTTCCTCAGTGTGCACCTTTCTTGGGTTTCCTCCTCTTGCTTTCTTGAGGCCTGCCACCAGATGTGGATACTTGTCCTGCCTCCCATCTGCTCTTGCAGATGGTCCCCAAGTGGGGGAATGGACCAAGGGTAACCTCCTAAACAGCACCAGCTTTAGTCATCCCCAACTCAGGAAACTCCTTGACTTTTGATCCCTTACATCTAATTCTGAATCCTGCTCCATGGAGTCAGTCATTAATTTAAGTTTCGAGTTCTTAGCCAACCCCTTGGACGGTGATATAACCCACTTCAATCTCTGATAACTGAGTCCGCTCTCAGTCCTTCCCCCGGGTCTGGACTTCTGAAGGCAAATTCTATGTATGTCTCTGCTCAAGACTCTAACTCAGATTCTGATATAAATCAAACTTACTGCCAATAAGTACATGAAAAGATATTCAACATCATTAGCCATTAAGGAAACGTAAATCAAAGCTACAGTGAGATACCATTTCACACCCACCAGGCTGGCTAAAATAAAAAAGAAGACAATAACAAGTACTGACAAAGATGTAGAGAAATTGGAACTTTCAAACACTGCTGGTCAAATGGTGCAGCCTCTTTGGAAAAAGCCTGGCAGTTTCTCAAATTGTTAAACGTAGAGCCGCAGGACCCAGCAGCTCCACTCCTAGGTATCTACCCAAGAGAAATGAAAACATATGTCTTCACAAAAACTTATATGTGAATATTCATAGTAGCACTATTCACAATAGCCAAAAGGTAGAAACCCAAAGACCATCAACTGATGAAAGGATAAACAAAATATGGAATATCTGTACAGTGGAACATGACCCTGCCACAAAAAGGAATGAAGTGCTGATCTACGCTACAACATAGAGGAACCTTGAAAGCATTATGCTAAGTGAAAGAAGCCTCACTCACAAAGGACCATATATTATATGATTCCATTTCTATGTAATGTCCAGAAGAGGCAAATATAGAGGATTCCTGGTTGCCTAGGGTTGGGGGTGGGGAGGGAAATTGGGGATGGCAGATGATAACTAAAGGGTTTCTTTTGGGGGTAATGAAATGTTCTAAAATTGATTGTGGTGACGGAGGTACAACTAAAAGCCACTGAATTGTACACTTTAAGTGGGTGAGTTGTATGGTATGTCAATTATATCAATAAACCTGTTTTTAAAAAAAGAACAAAAATCTATGTTACCATTTCAAGCTACTATAACAGCTAATATGAGTAAACAAGAAAACAGATTAAAGCCTCAATACCACCACCAGGCAAACCTCTTTGAAGACCGTGCTTTCCAAATAAGAATATTGTTATTCAGAAAGCACTTCTGCAAATTAAAAATTGCAGAGAGATTTTACTTTGAACCTATTAGATCTGATAACACAAAATCACTCTAAACTAGGATTTCTTGACCTTTGTCCTATTGACATTTTGTGCCAGATAATTCTTTGTTGTGGAAGTCTGTACTGTGCGTTGTAGAATGCTTAGCAGCATCCTTGGCCTCGACCCACTAGATGCCAGTAGTACCTTCTACATTGTGACAACCCAAAATATCTCCAGACATTGCGAAACGTCCCCTTGTCCTGGGAGGCAAACTACTGCCCTCTGAGAACCATTGCTGCAGCTAACTTTCCTAAACTGGGTTTTCTCTAAGCCTACAGCCGTGATTCTCAAACTGTTTTCTGACTGGCAACATCAGCCTCACCTGGGAACTTGTTGGAAATGCAAAGCCTCAGGCTCTATCCCAGAACTACAGAATCATAAACTCTGGGAGTGCATCAGTGTTTTGTCATAAGTCCTCTGGGGATTCCAATGCAGGCTAAAGCTTGAGAAAGCTATGGGCATATTAGGGAGGGAGCCCCTCATCACTTCCATTTCATTATAAACAGGCTACCTGTGGCAGGCTATAAGGTGCAGGTATATAGCTTTTCTTCTTTCCTGCTAACAAAACCCAGATTTCATTTAGGTGTCCACAGAGAGCCCTTGATCTTGAGAAAGGTAGGTGGGCCCCAGGTGTGTGGGTGTGTGTGTGTAGCCAAGGGATGGACTTGTGAGACAGGTATGCCTGCTGGGCACTTCTAGGAACTTGAGAAACCAACCCTCTCTGCCCTGGCTGCCCTCTGCTGAGGCTGCACTACCTGCAGCCGCAGTCTCTGCCTTGTAACCATGACGTGACAAGCCTAAAGACGAAGGGGTCAACCCACCAAGCATGGCAGAGCAGAATGAAGGAAAGGGCCTGGTCCTTAACAACACCCCTGAGCAGCTGAATCTGCCTCAGCAATCATCTTCCTCCAGATTTCTTGTTACACGAGAAAAAAATTTTGGTCTAAATATATCAGGTCGGTTTTTTTGTTTTGTTTTGTGGTTAATTACATCCTGATATCTTAAAAACAAAAAAACTACTCCAAACAAAGACCATTCTTTTTTTTTTTTTGGTATATATCTTAATGTGGAAAACATCCTGAGAGACATTTGTATACAAAAAGAAAACAAAAGAAACCTGATTTTTCCTTTAAGTTTTCTTTTTTCTTTCTTTTTTAAATTCGATTAATTAACATATAGTGTATTATTAGTTCCAGAGGTAGAGTTCAGTGACTCATCAGTCTTTTTTTTTTTAATGTTTTTTTTTAAAGATTTTATTTATTTATTTGACAGAGAGAGACACAGTGAGAGAAGGAACACAAGCAGGGGGAGTGGGAGAGGAAGAAGCAGGCCTCCCGCGGAGCAGGGAGCCCGATGCGGGGCTCGATCCCAGGACCCCGGGATCATGACCCGAGCCGAAGGCAGATGTCCAACGACTGAGCCACTCAGGCGCCCCGTGACTCATCAGTCTTATATAACACCCAGTGCTCATTACATCACGTGCCCTCCTTTATATCCATCACCCAGTTACTCCATCCCACCCCCCCTCCCCTCCAGCAACCCTCAGTTTGTTTCTTATGATTAAGGGTCTCTTATGGCTTGTCTCCCTCTCTCATTTCATTTTGTTTTATTTTTCCGTCTCTTCTCCTATGATCCTGTTTTGTTTCTTAAATTCCACATGAGTGAAATCATATGGTAATTGTCTTTCTCTGATTGACTTATTTCACTTAGCATAATACCCTCTAGTTCCATGTTGTTACAAATGGCAAGATTTCAGGGTTTTTTGATGGCTAATATTCCATTGTATATACATACCACATCTTCTTTAGCGATTCATCTGTTGATGGACATCTGGGCTCTTTCCATAGTTTGGCTATTGTGGACATTGCTGCTATAAATATTGGGGTGCGGGTGCCCCTTTGGATCACTACATTTGTATCTTTGGGGTAAATCCCTAGTAGTCCAATTGCTGGGTCGTAGGGTAGCTCTATTTTCAACTTTTTGAGGAAGAGCAAAAACTATTCTAATGGGGGGCACCTGGGTGGCTCAGTCTGTTAAGTGTCTGCCTTTGGCTCAGGTCATGATCCCAGAGTTCTAGGATCAAGCCCTGTGTCAGTCTCCCTGCTCAGAGGGGGAGTCTGCTTCTGCCTCTCCTTCTGCCCCCCACCCCCATCCAACTCATGCTCTCTTTCTCTCAAATAAATATATATTAAAAAATTATTCTAATGGTCTCTATAGCTCCAGACTCCCCTGAATGCCTAGATATTTGGGTAAAGCCATTTTAACTGAAAAAAAAAAGTGTTTAAGGATGAGAAAGCTACTCTTTGTCACTGTAGGCACTTGAGGGCACAGTCATTCAGGCCTGTGGTGGCAGGCAATTTGCACATGTCAACGATCTGATCTTACCAGATCTTACCTCTGACACTTAAACTGGGGGAAGCCCTAACTTAAGTGAAGGGAACTAAAAACCTGTGCTCCAGGCTTTTCACAAGACACCTCATTTGATTTTTTTTTAAAAGATTTTATTTTTATTTATTTGACAGAGACAGAGAATGCGAGAGAGAGAACACAAGCAGGGGGAGTGGGAGAGGGAGAAGCAGGCTTCCCGCCGAGCAGGGAGCCCGATGTGGGGCTCGATCCCAGGACCCTGGGGTCATGACCTGAGCTGAAGGCAGACGCTTAATGACTGAGCCACCCAGGTGCCCCGGGATATTGATTTTTTAATTGAAAAAAATTAAATTAAATTTTATTATTTTTAAAATTGAGGAATAATTGGGGCGCCTGGGTGGCTCAGTTGGTTGAGTGTCTGACTTCTTGGTTTCAGCTCAGGTCATGATATCAGGGTCATGAGATCAAGCCCCATGTTGGGCTCTGCTCAGTACAGAGTCTGCTCGAGATTCTCTCTGTCCCTCTCCCTCTGCCCCTCCTGCTTGGGCTCACTCTCTCTTTCTCTCTCATAAATAAATGAACAAATAAATAGATAAAATCTTTAAAAAGAATAAATTGAGATATAATTGACATAAAACATTATATTAGTTTTAGGTACATAACATGATGATTTGATATTTGTATATATTGCAAAATGATCATACCACAGTCTAACATCTGTCACAATACATAGAATTTTTTTTCTTGTGATGAGAACTTTTAAGATTTACTCTCTTAGCAACTTTCAAAGATGCAATACAATGTTATTAACTACAGTCACCATGCTAAAAATTACATCCGCATGATTTATTTTATTTTTTAAATTTTTTATTGTTATGTTAATCACCATACATTACATCATTAGTTCTATTTTTTTAAAAAGATTTTATTTATTTATTTGAGACAGAGAGAATGAGAGAGAGAGAGAGAGAGAGAGAGCGCACATTAGGGGAGGGGTCAGAGGTAGAAGCAGACTCCCTGCCGAGCAGGGAGCCCAATGCGGGACTCAATCCAGGGACTCCAGGATCATGACCTGAGCCAAAGGCAGTCGCTTAACCAACTGAGCCACCTAGGCGCCCTGTATCATTAGTTCTTGATGTAGTGTCCCATGATTCATTGTTTGTGCATAACACCCAGTGCTCCACGCAGAAT